TACTACTACTACTACTACTACTACTACTACTACTACTACTACTACTAGTTAGTAGTAGTACTACTACTACTGTTACTCCTGCTGCTGCCGCTGCTGCTGCTGCTGCTGCTGTTACTATACTACTACTACTACGACGACGACGACCGCCACTACTACTACGACTACTACTACTACTACTGCTTCTATTACTACTACTACTACTACTTACTACTGAGTACCACTACTGAATACTACTGCTTCTATTACTACTACTTGCTGCTACTACTACTGCTGCTACTATTACTACTACTGTTACTACTGAGTACGACTATGACTACCACTACCACTACGACTATGATTGCGACAGCGACGACGACTATTACTGCTGCCACTACTGTTTACTGCTACGCTTTGCTATTACTACTGTACTCATTCCTGTTCAAAGCTTCGAGGAGAAAGTGGCAGAGATATGCACGGGGTGTGCCCAATGCTGGATGGTCGCGCCAATGTGAGTTTCGTGCCCCGCGCTGGTTCTATCAGCGGGTTGCGCTGTTCCCAACAAAATATATAAGAGGGGTGTTAAAGCACGGTTTCGGCGCGTGGGCGGAAGTTGTTTGCTGTAAAAGCCGGTTCCTCAAGTCTGGGGCTGATTTTGAACGTCAATTCCCTTGATGTGTGCGCAGCATCGCTTCCAGGAAGGGCGTTGCTTGTCATCGGATGATCGTGGAGGGCTTTTTGCGCGGCATGAGCTTCAACTGCGATCACGACACGGTGGTGCTGTTTGATGTGTTGCCCAACACGATCCTCGGGATTGATTAGCGGGAACTGATTTTAAAGTGTGTGTGTTTTGTTGTATGTTGTGTTGTTGTGTATACCACCGGATTTCTATCCTGCATGTCGTTGCGTTGTGGCCTGGCTGGCAGGTATGCTGAGTTCAGCAAAGCGATCGTGGAGATGACGCTTGAGGGGAAGAAGCCAGATCAGCCAGACTTGATTTACTACGGCGTCTTCAGAGACGATTCAGACAGGCCTGGGGCAAGTCAGATCCACAAAAAGGTGTTGCGTGACATCGAAAGCAAAATCTTCCAGCATTGGGATGGATTGTCGTCTTCGCCTTCAAAGACTCGACCAAAGTCGCAGCCAAGCAGGCTTGTGAGCGGGCTGACTTTGATCAGCTGCACGGAGCAAGGCCCCATGTGGCCAAGCTCCCTCAACTCCAAGTTTGCGGCTGGTTCACCTGAAGCAAAGGAGTTGGAGACACTGATGAAGGAGTTTAATACAGAGTTCCCACCGCCATCGAACACGAACACCTCATCCGGAACTACTGCGACTACTCCTGCTTCTACCACGCAGCGAGCCAGCGGCCAGCCTGACTTCTCAGTCGACGGAGGAAAAGAACCTCTCGACGTCACCCGGGTCGTGGATCTGTTGGTGGAAGCCCCACCACCTCCTGATCAGAGGCGTGAGTTTGCGCGCGCCAAGAGAGCGCTATTTTTGGGGTCGTGTTGTTGAGGTTGGCCTTCTTGTTTGTGTGTGTGTGTGTTGGGTGCTTCATTCTGGATCAGAGATGGGCAGATTGTTTACATTGTGATTATTTTCATTATCGTTTTGAAGTTGATACCAACCCATTACATGTCAAAAGCTTTCGCCGTGCGCTGAGTAGAGTGGCTGGCTGTTTTGCAAGACTCATTCTGCTTGTTAGGCTTTGCTGCGTGAATGGACGGGCTTCCAAACCCAATGTGCTGGTGGACAAGCACTACAAGATTTGGATTGGGAACCCTGGCGACCAGGAGGCAAGCTACAGCGGAGAGATCTTTGGATTTAACACCGGGTCCTTTGAGTACAAGGTGATCAACCATACGTCCAAGAGGGACGCCTCAGGCATAGCGTTCCGTTTGACCACGGACACGGACCTCATTGTGCACGACAAGGTTGTTCTTCCATTTTGCAAGTTTTTGCACAATGCTGCCGTGAAACATGGACTGGCTGACGTGACCTTGACGGACCACCTGCTCGAGCCGAAGCTCCATCCGGCTGTTCCCAGGCTGTTTGAATGAGTCAGTTGTTGTGTCGTTATTTGTTTAATTCATGTGTGTGTACAGTGTTTCAAGACCGATCGTCGGCGCGCGGGTCAGCCTGCGATGTTCAGGGCGGTCCTTTAACAGAAGCATTATTCACCAGGTGTGTGTGTGTGTGCGCCGGCCTGTAATTTTTGTTCTGGGTGCCTTGCCCAGGTTGAGGGTGAACAAGAACAGCTACCTGTGAGTTTTCGATACAATGTGCGTCCTGCCGCATCCATGCGGACAAATGTGTTCAAAGCCAACCCGTTGCAGCAGAATGCTGATGTCAAGTTCAACAACCTTGGTGCCATCTTTGTGGGGAAGTGGCAGGATCTCCCAGATTCAAAGGTGTTGGATGTACTTTGGGAGGCTGGCGGGTCGTTGGAAGGCGTTCTAGGCGCAACCGACACATTAAGGCTAGATTGCTTACCAGAAGTTCCCATAAAAATGCTAAACCTGTCGAATGCATGTTTGCCACAGGTTCAGATGCAAGGCAACAAAATTGTGCCTACGAAGCCGAAGATGCACCTCACCGCTGTCGTCACTGTCCCGCCCAATTCATGGGTCCAACTGCCGTGATCTGAGCCAGGGGCTTGCGAACAGATCTGTTTTTGGTAGTTGGGTTGCCGTTACCATCCAAAAGTAGACCAAAGCTTTAACTTTCATGACTTTCATGTTGACAAGTGTGGCAGCCCAACTGATTTTTGCAGGGCGGAAGCCATAGTCTGTGAGCAATCTGGAAGCTGGCAGTTCCACTGACCTGTGGTGGACTGTGGAAAACAATTCGGGCATTCAGGCACTAACCATTTGTTTTGGGTTGAGAATGCGCCAGCTATGATCTGGGTGTTGTTTTTTCAGTGTCGCCCCCTGCTTGGTTCGGTGTCGCACCTTGTGTGGGTCCTCAACCGTGCGAGATGTTGACAGCAGCATTTCAGTAGCTGGTCCTTGCGACTGTGGTAGCCTGCGTTGTTGGGGCGATCTGCCATTATGCCAGCGCTGCAGCCGATCACCGACTTGACAGAGAGCGAGGAAGAGCCAAAGACAACTCCCACTACGCGGAAGAGGCCGGCAGCGGACCTTCCAAAGCCGAAGAAAAAGGCGAAATCAGCCGATCAGCTGGTTGAACCGGAGGAGGGTGCAGCCGAATCAGCCAAGGGACCGAAGAAAGGGGCCCCAAAGCCCAAAGCGAAAGCAAAGGGGAAGGCTGCGTCAAAGAGACCTGCTGCGAGCCCTTCGAAAGAGAAGGCATCGGGACAGACAGAGACGGGTGCAGCAGAAGGAGAGGCAGCGGATGCAGACGGCGACGAGGCGAAGGTGGACGATGACAAGAAGCAGGCGGGTGTTGCAAGTCTTACCGCGTGGCTGGTTCAACGTGTTACCATGTTGGTTTGAATGGTGGCCTCTCGTTGTTGGAGGCCAAAAAAGGATCAGAGATCAAAATCAGCAACCCGCAGTTCCACAAGAATAACAACTCGTGGGGATTGAAGATGGGGCCCAAGCTGGTCCTATCCGTGCCTGGCCGTCAAAACCAAAGAACAGTCAAAGACATTGCCAATTGCCATTGTTTGAGATCGCTTGAACTGATTTGTTCCAACTCTCAACCTGCCCTGGGTTTGGTGCCCAGAATGTGGAACATTCCCTAGGTGGGTAGCGCTCGTTATGATGCTGAAAAGACGAAGGAGATTGCAGCCAAGAGCTCACATCACGCTTGTTTTTGTCAATTTTTGTCATCGCAAGTTCATTCGGCTGAGGTTATTTGCCGGAGCCATTTTTTAAAGGGGGAGACGAAAAAGCAGGTTGAGGAGGTGAAGGCGCGGACGAGGTCACGTCGTCGTCCCCTTTCTTTTCCCAAGTGGAGTATTTCGTCCGCTGCGAGGCAGCCTTGTTGGAGAAGTTGGAACCGCTTGAACGATGTTCAACCACTAAAAGTTTTGAGCTTACAAAGCCTGCCCACGAATTTGTCAATCATGGCTTGACTCATGGCTGCATCTTCCCAAACCGCTGTCAACTTTTAGGTTCAGCTTCGGGTGTGAAAGCCAAGCCTGCAGCTGCTGCTGCAGACGGGCCAGACGGTGAAGGCGAAGAGGAAGAGGTGGTTGAGGAGGATCCTGCCATTGAGATGGCCGGTGAGAGCGTGGAGAATGTAGATTAGTAGTTTCGAATGGAGCGAAGCTGATGTTTGCTGCTGGCGGCGGTAAAACCTGTGCTTCAGTCAGTGAATGATGATTTCAAATTCATTTCGCCTTTGGTATCAAGTTCTTTTGTTAACTTATTTTCTGGGTCTGGTGCTGCGACGCAGGGAGGTTTGTTTGTTGTTTAGTGGGAGAGCGGTGTGCGTGCCAGTGCCACTAACGACCTGGCTGAATGAAAGCTGTTGGATGGTCTTAAGTTGTTGCGCCATGTAATTAAACCCAGTCTGAGTGACACGAACTGCAGCCCCACGGTCTCGCAACAGCGTCGAACTAGATTAATTCTTTTTGATCCTGCAACAGGCACGGACATGTGTCATTGGAATGAACAGCCCCTGAAGATCGGTTGAAGGCTGATCATGTGAACGCTGTGTTGTTGCAACATTGCGCGTTGCACCCTGCCGGCGCAAAGCTTTCTGAGGTTAGGTTCTTCTGTTTGTGAAACGTGTTGGTGGTAGGTTCCCAGGGCCTCTGCTTTCAATGTTCCAGCGCTATGTTTGACAGAGTGGTTTTTGGTCTCATTCCTGCGTTTCATTTAGTCTGTTCCAATCGAATATATATTGTTGTAAAAAACAAATTTGTGGCACACGACCTTCAAAAGAGCAACGCTGAGGCCAAACAAAAGAGCAACCGTGAGCAAGGCAACACCGTGCTTAGCCCAGGGATTTCTCAACTAACAAAGTGCAACAAAGCGCAACGTGCTCCATGAGCTTTGCAAAATCTTAGAAGCAAACCTTGCGGCCACAATTTTCTCAAGTTCATTGAGGGCTCTGCGCAGCTGAAGACAGGAAACGTGTTGAACAAACAACAAAACAAACGAACAGGAGTCAAAGGCGAAACGAGTTAGAAACAACAGTTCGTGCAAAGTGGGTGTGTCAACTGTTCACTTGTTGGCCTTCCGTAGACTAAACCTCAGCTAAGTGCACAGGGGACGCCACGACTAGGACTAAGCTTTTCAGTCACGAAAAGCAATGGGTGCCAACAGGACCAGAAGTATACACTTTGCACATATATTGACTAATTCCCAAGCCCAATTGTTTTGAAATAAAACATCAAGAATACCTATAATAGACTATGTTAAATTGGCTCAAGTCTGTCAGTTTGATGTGGGCAGCACAGATCGCAGGAAGCGCGCTCGCCCCAGGACTTCATAAAAGAATTGGCAGCTCGAGGCTGTCAGGGTCTGCAAAGGGTTATCACAGTCTGCGGTAAGCGCACTCCACGTATGGCCCACTCCCCCTCCTCACAGTGACCAGTGAGTCCATCCATCGCACAGTCCGCAAAGGGTTGTCACAGTCCGCGAGCGCAGTGCTCCATGGGTCCATGAGTGATCATCAGCGGCTCCGGTGTGCATTAGGCGCACCCTCATAGCCCACATGATATGATCAGTGAATCCAGGGCTAGACTAGTGGCCACACATGACCAGTAAACTTAAGCCCGCTGTCCACATAGGCTGTCCAAGCCCACAGGCCAGGGTGACTGGAATGGTGAGACCCCGATTGATA